GGGCGCGGCGCCGAACCAGCCGGCGGGCAGGCCAGAGTATGCGACCGAGTCGCCGCGGGCCAGGGCGACGCAGTGCAGCAGGATGGGGGCGCATATGAACGCGTCCAGGGGGTGCGCCAGGTGCTGCTGGCCTGCGGGATGGGCGCAGGGATGCGGGGCGCGGACTCAGTGGGAACGCGTGCAGCGTCTGTGCTGCGAGGGCGCCGCGAGGTGCGCAGCCGCGGCCCTGCGACGCCAAGCTGTGCGTTGCAGGCTGTGGCATTGGCAAGAAAGACCAAGACGACCACCCTTCAAGCAGGAAGGTCGCTGGTTCGACCGGGCAAGAGCTCGATCCCAGCGGCTCACCTAGGGGCAGCTGGGCCCACGCAGCGAGGGAGGGCAGCATCAGCATCAGGCAGCAGCCATACAGCAGCAGCCACCCCTGGTGCATTAGCTGCTGCATACGCACGACCTCGTCGGACGGCGGGGGCGGCGACGCGCTCGGACACGCACGGCGGCCGCCACCGCCGCGCGGCGGCAGGGACTGCTGAGTGTCGGTCTGCTGCTGACGGCAGGGCAGCGGGGCGGCTGCCGAGATGCCGTACGGAGAGGGCGACCCCCAGGGCTGCTGCTGCTGCTCCTGCTGCTCAGGCTGCTGCTGTGAGGTGTCTGTGGCGCCTGCAGCAGGCCGGCATGCGTCCCCGTTCGCGGCGTCGCTGGCGGCCCCCTCATCCATCGCTGCCAGCTGCCTGGAGCTGCGAGAGATGGCCAGGCCGCGCCGCACCAGCGGCCCCCCGCCGCCGCCCCTCGCCACCAACGCGCCGCCCAAGGACGTGCCAAAACCACCGCCGCCGTCGCTCCCGTCTCCCTCGTTGCTGTGCTGATTTGGCAAGCCGCTGCCGCCGCCGCCGCCACGCGCGGGCCCGAGAGGGCTCAGCGCCCGCCAGGGCTCCCGTCCCAAACCGAGCGCCGCAGACGGCGGGTGGTCCGCGGGCGCGGCGGACGGCGCGCCGGGCCCTACTGGCGCAGCGGGCGATGCCGGGTCGGCTGCCAGGTCTGCATACGTGCGCACCGCCGCCGCCCCCGCCGACGCCGAAAACACGCCGCCGCCGACGCCATCTGCTCCTGCGTTTGCCCGCGCAGCGAGTTGCGCCTCCAACACAGCGATCGACGGGTGCGGCGGTACTGGCCGCGGCGGCGGCGCGGCGGCACGTCGCGGCGGTGCGGCGAGGGCGGAAAGCGGAAACTCTGGCAGCGAGAGCCTGACAAGGAAGTTTGTTATCCTCTGGGGCGTCCAGGTGATGAAGAGCGCCGAGGTCGCCAGGGCCAGGCCGATCTGGTGGAAGCGGAAGGGACAGGGGAGGTTCGGAACAGGGTGGATCACGCAGATTGCGCCAGGCCGCTAGTGATGGTGCATGTGTGCGCATGTTTGTGCATATGTGTATGTCTGTGGGGATGTGTCGTCTGTAGCACGCACGCACATGCGGTAGCATGCACACACATGCGTTGTGCGGGTGGTCTCTCCATGCTCGCGTGCAGCGAAGGATGCAGCCACAGCGCCGCTGCAACGTGGAGGTGCAAAACCCGCCACTGGCTCAACCCAGGCCGGCCCGCACACGCCTCACCGCGGGGTGCGGCATGCACATCGCTGCTGCGACCGCGAGTTGGATCGCCCCAAGCAGCAGCCGCAGAAGCGGGACGCCCACGCCGCCGCCACAGCGCGAGTCGCACTCGTGCGGCAGCCCGGCCGGCGGCTCCGGCAGGCAGCCCCCCGCGCCCGCGGCTCCGCAGCCGAGCGGCAGCTTCCCGCCGGGCGGCCCCGCGACGCACGCCCCGAGCACCGCGGTCGGCGCCGAAAACAGGCCCGTCGGGCACGCGTCGTCGCAGGGGCCGCAGCCGTCCTCCTCTGCAGATCCCTCGCCGCGGCCGTTCCCCACGCGCGCCGTCGCGCTCCCTGCGGCGTCCGCAGTACCTCTGCCGCTGCTGTCGCCGCCACTGCCGGACGCGACGCCGCTCGCCCCAAACGCAGAGCGCCCAACGCGCAGCACGACCGCGGCCCAGCCGCCGCAGAGGCACTTGAGCAATACCGCCAGCTGTGCGTTGATCATAAGCAACGTCACCGCCGCCAGTGCCAAAAACGCCACCCCCGCCGCCGGCGGGCGCGGCGCGAGGCGCGACAGCCCGCAGGCGGCGAGCGCGAAGCGCACGGCGCGCCGCAGGAGCCGCAGCAGTAGCGCGTTGTCTGCGTCCGCGCCGCTGCTGTCCTCGTCGTCGTGGTGCCCGCCACCGTCTGCCAGCCGCTCCGCTGACAGCAGGAGCGCGAGCAGCGCCGCGGCGCCCAGCCAGACGCGGCGGTCGCCGAGCACGGCGTCGAGCGAGCGCGGGAAGGACGTCGCCGCCGGCGGCGCCAGGTTGGCGCCGCCCAGGCTGATGACAGGGGCGCTCCTGGGGCAGGGGGCCAAACAGGGGACGCGCAACTATGTGCCAGGCCGACCCGATGATGTTCAAGGTAGGGCGTGCCGAGCGCAACGGCCATGGATCAAGCTGGGGTGCGACTATGTCAGGCGTGCCTGCCGCAGCCGCCCGGTTTGGGGAGCTCCCTGACACCCGAATGCGGCGCCGCGGCAGAGACGCGTGCGTGCTTGCCCGACCTGCAGCCCCCAACGCACCTCGCACGTGAGACCGCCCGGGAGCCCAAAGCCGCGGCTGGCGATTGCCGTCCGCTCGCGCCGCCGTCACCGCCGCCGCCGCTGAGCCCGAATCCGCCGTGGCCGCCGAGCCCAATTGAGTGGCCGCTTCCGTGGAAGCCGTCGAGCAGCTGCACGCCAGCTTCCTGGGCAGACAGCTGCACGAGCGCGCTGAGCTGGTGACTCAGCGCCAGCAGCAGCAGCGCAACCATGAGCCCAACGGCAACACTTGAATACCTGAAACAAGTTTGACGAGGATCGGATAAGTTGATGAGGTATGTTTTGCACAGGGTAAGGATAAAACTGGATGGGATGGCATTTGGTAAGATGGTGTACAATCATGTCGAATGACAGCCTGCAGGTGATGGTTGGCACTTGACCATGTCATCTTCACCCAGTCACGCAGTGCGTGTGCACCCAAACCTTGCCTAAGCCTCGTTCACGCCGAGCCAAATCGTATCCCGCAGGCCCGCTGCCGACAACTGGAGCTTTTCAGACATGGCCTGCATGATGCACGCGCAGCCCCGCAACGATACAGCTCAGGACCCCTACAGCCCGCGCGACACGCGCGCAGCCCTGCAACCAAGCGCTCACCCCAGCAGAAGCGTCCACAGCGGCGCAAACACGTCCAGGCCCAGCCACAGGGAGTAATTGCACCTCGGGTCCAGCACCGCCACAATCATCGGCGCGCCGCCGCCGCCCTCGTGCGCGCCCGGCCACGCGTGCAGGTGGAAGTGGAGGGGCAGGGCGCTCATATTCGCGCGCACGTGCTCGTCGTCGCCGCTCGCGTCGGACGACACCAGCGCCGGCCGCCAGCAGCCGGCCGCCGGCGCGGCGCCGCCGTCGCCGTCCCCTGGGGCGCCGCCGTGAGGGTGTGCGCGCCGCAGCCACGGCAGGCGCGCCTGCTGCGCGGCGGCCGGCCGAGAGGCGGCCCAGCGGAGGCTGAGGTGGCGAGACAGCCACGGCCACCGCAGCTGCAGATGCACGACCGCGGGGCCCCCCGCCGCCCGTCGCGCCGGCAGCAGCACGGACCAGGGCGCCAGCCGCGCTTCGCCTTCGCCAGCGTCGGGATCGCGCCGCGGCGCGGCCGCCGCCGCCATGCCGGGCGCCGGCCAGTGTCGCAGCCACTGGACAGAAGCTGCTGTCCACGCGGGCGTGCCGCCGTCCCCGCCGGGCTTGCCGCGCGGCGCGACCCACAGGTAAATGCGCCTGGCGCGCGCCAGCAGGGGCGGCGGCACGCGCAGGAGCCACGCGGAGCCCGCAAGGTAGTCGCGGCCGCGCAGCACCTCCTGCCACTTCCTGCGAGGGGTTGAAGGCAGCACCATGCCGTTTTGGACATGGTTCGTCAACGCTGCACTCCTTGTCTTGCAACACATCCAACACCCAACAGGCGCAGAAGAAAAACGTCGTTCTTGTGCCTCCTGTGATTCAAGGCTGCAGGTGGCAGAGGGGCCTCCAAGTCCTGCAACAAAGTGCCGGCAAAACGTCCCACCCTCTGGGGTCGGCATCTCGTGCCAGTCTGCCCAACAAAAGCAACCCCACTCACTCGGCATCCTTGACGCTTAGAGCCGCGGCGTCGTCCAAGCACGGCAGCATGGCAGCTGCATGACTCAGGTCCACAACCACCGTCCCAGGGTCTGCCACGTCAGCCCCGCCCTGCTGCTGCTGCTGCTGCTCGCCGGCCCCCGCCTGGCCCTGCGGCGCCTCCGAACCCCCCTCGTCCCTCAGCCGCCGTGGGCCGCCGGCGCCGCCGCCCGGCGGCTCGAGCTCCAGCCAGAGGCGGAAGCCGTCGCACGGCTTTGCTGCGGAAATCGTAAGCAGCAGGCCGCCCCCGCTGCTGCCGCTGTCGCCGTCCGTGCTGCTGCCGCTGCCGCCACCGTCGCCGCCGCCGCTGTCAATGTCTCCGCCTTGGCTGGTGGTGAAGCGCCGAGCATCCCACGTGAACAGGTTGCCGCGGCCGTCATCAAGGTGGGACCCATGCACGAACATCGAAGTGGTCGCCACCTCTTCGGCTTCCAGCTGCGCTTTATGCCACCCCAGGCCGTGGCCGCGGCAGGCTCTGGGCCCGACCGAAGGGTCGAGCGCCGCCCAGGGGCCCCAGAAGGTGCCAAGCAGCTGCTGCCCCGCAGCCGCGACTGCCGTGCCGTTTGGATCGGCCGCGGAGGCGCGCCAGGCGGCGGCCCAGGAGGCGGCTGCCGCGGCGGCGGCCGGCGTGGCGGCCAGGGAGTGGGCGACGCGACCCTGCAGGCGGTACATGATAAGGGCTGCGTCCGTATCCCGTGGCAGCCGCCGTGGCCGCCGGTGTCGGGCTCGAGACTGCCCCTGTGAGGGCACCGCCTTGGCCGCGGCGGACGCGCCCTGCAGCGGGAGCTGCATCGTCCGGCGCCGCGGGCGGGGCGGCGCCTGGGGCGCCTCGTGGCTGCTGTCCAACAGGAGCAGTCCGTGGGCACCTTGCCACCCCCGGCTCCCCGCCCCCGGCGGTGGCGGCGGCGGCGGCTGGGGCAGCGCTGCCTCCAGCAACTTGCGCTCCTTCGCCGCCGCCGCTGCCTCCGCGGCGCCAGCGCCAGCGCCGCCGCGCCGCCCCTCGCACAGCGCAAGCAGCAGCACCGACAGCCGCCGCAGCAGCTGGTTGCACCACGCGATCTCGTTGTGGCCGGCCTGCGCCCAGACGCCGGGCATGTCTAGGGTCGCGGCCTCAAAGGCGTGCGAGGCGTCGATCGTCACCCCGTCGAGTGACGTCAGCGGCTCGGCCACCTGAGGAACGGGGTGTTAGGGGACGGCGGCGACGCGCAGGCAATCAGCGGACCAGCGTGGTCGGGGCGTGTCTGATCCGAGGGCGGCTGGCGCAGGGATTGGCATCAGACTGAATGCGCCCCGTCCATGCCTTGGGCGGGCGTGACAGCATGGGACTCAGAAACCTGGCCCACTGTCGTTGCACTCTGATACAATAAGGTGCCATTAGCACGATCAATCCATGTGATTGCCCCGCCCCGCTGCACACCTGCACGTCGCGTGCGCCGCCGTTTATCGACACCACCGGCACGCCCACCGGCAGCGGCTGCGCGCCCAGCCGCGCGTACAGGCGCCCCATCGCGGGGTGCAGCATGACCGGGGACGCCGCCTGCGGCGACGAAAGCGTCACGAGCAGCGAGACGCTGCCTGGCCCGAGCTCGGGGTCGCGCCACGCCTCAAGCAGCAGCAGCTGCGCGACGACGCCACCCATCGAGTGCCCGAACAGCAGCACGCCGCCGCCGGTCGCAGCCGCGCCCGCGGGGCCGCCGGCAGTCGCGTTTGCGGCGCCGCGGGGGCGCAGGTTGTACGCAGCGGCGAGGTGGCGCAGGCAGGCGAGCGCGAAGCGGGCCTGGTGCTCCAACAGGACCGAGTCAAAGGCTGACAGCTCCTCATTCGTATCCAGAACGTACCTATGAGATAGGACGTAATGGCAGGGATGCACCACCCAAACGACCGGCAGTTGCAGAAAGCCAACCATTGGCAGCAGGAGACCAGCCGCAGGCTGTGTACGTCCGCTGCTGCCGTCAGAAGCGGCGGTCGCTCTCTGACACCCGCATCGCCTCGGGTGCAGCGGAGGCCCCGCGGCCTCTGCAGCGCCCCATGCCATGCCAACCAGTGCAGAACACAGCGGCCAGCTGCGGCGCCGGACGCGCTACCCACCAATCAAGGTCCTTGCCGGCTGCGGGGCCACCGGGGTGGCCGCCGCCGGCGGCCGCCTCTCGCCGCGTCTTGCGCCGCGCCCATTCCCTGGAGGTCTCTGATGCGATGGATCGGACCTGCGGTGGAGCGATGCGTGTTGTGAATAACGAATGGACAGCACTTGTTGGCGCATGGTTGATCATGCAGCTGCACTGGTCGTGCATGTGTGAGGGGCTTGAGTTGGCATGCGGCATGCACCCACTTCCGGCGGCTGCTGCGTGTGCATGTGCGCATGCGCATGCAGACAGGCGCGTTCAGGCCGCTGGCGGCCGCTGATACAGACCTGTTGGTACGACCCCGCGTTGCCAGGAATGAAGAGAACCGGGTGGCCAGTGGGCGGCATAGCTGCGTTGGGGGTGTGAGTACGTGACATCGACCAAAGTGCAGCAATCAGTTTCCAAGCAGCCGCCTGGACGCCCCAATGAGCAGCAGCGCCTGCCATGCGCTGCGGCGCCTGCTGCATGCTTGAATGGGGCACAGCCCTGCCCTGTGAATGGCGCTGCGCGGCGCCTGGCATCCGGGGCTGCTGTTGCTGCCTACAGCACCACCGCACAAGTGGACTCCTCTGCGGCCAAAAGACAGGGACCGGGTCCCCACCTTGCTTGCTCGGGCCGCCGTCTTCGCGGTACAGGTAGAGCTTGTACCGCTTGTCTGACTCAGCAACCCGCTGTACATGCACCTCCTTGTAATTGGCATACATGTACGTCATCTCGCACCCCGCGCTGCGCGACTGCTCGACGGCAACATGCCACGCCGTGCCGCACAGCAGCAGCAGCGTGACCGCCGCGAGCGCGAGGAGGACGCGCATGGTGAGCTTGGTGATGCGCCGCTGCGGCGGCCTTGGCGCACGCGCCTCGCGCTGTTGGCCACCGCGCTGTTGGCACGGTCCGCAGTGCACCAGTCGGTCAGCGACTCTCAGCCTGAACGCCAACGGCCGTGCATGCTATCTACAAGTCGTCATAAGGAGACCAGCAGCGTGCGGACCTCACAAGGCCCGCTCAACATCGCTGGTTGGGGTGGTTATCTTAGTGCGAAGATCAAGGCGGGGAAGAACTGCGTCATGTATATGATTGTTGTTATACACAGGGCTAGTAACAATCACCAGTGATGCAAGCAAACACGGTTTCATTAGCCGCGGGTGATCTGCCAGGATCTCGCCGGCTCACAATTCGTAACAGTACCGGAGTCGCTTTCATAATTTGATTGCATCACACTTGGTGTTCTGAGCCCGCCAGACAGCAGCGGCGACAGCCGGCACTGCCCGCTTGCAGCAACAGCAGCGCCATGCTGCGGCACACGTACGCGCACGCGGTCTACCCAGTCACCGGCTACAAGTTTGGGCAGAAAGGGGCCAAGCCGGATAAGGATGGGAGCGCAGCTGACCGCATGGCGCGGCTCAAAGCAAAGTGAGTGCTCCCTCGGCTGTCCAGCATTGCGGGGTGGCGGCGCACATGGCAGCTGCACACAAAGTTGCTGCAGCACGGCGGAGGCAAGCAGCAGTGGAGCAACTGACGCCCTTGCAGGCAGCTGTGGCCGCTCCAGCAAAAAAAATAATCCACCGTGGTGGTGTGCATAGGTTGCCCCGAAACCCTGCGCGTGCCGTGTGGCTTGCGGCGACACATGCGCATCAGCCGCCGCTCACCACGCTGCGCCCCACTGCCGTGCTCAGGTATGAGCGCGAGGGGCTCAGGCGGTCGGTAGACGCTGTCATCGTGGTGCAGCAGCATGGGCACCCACACGTGCTGCTCTTGCAGGTGACGAAGTGCCCAATGGCTGCTCAAAAAACGTCGGCTGCACCCTCAGAGTCTGAGCTCCTGAAGAGCAGCCGCCCGGCTGCTCCTCCGCAACGGCGGTGCAAAGTGCACCAACTCGCAGCGGTGCTTGCGCCGCGGCCCATATCGGCTGCCGCCTGCGCACCTCCTCTGACGCGCCCCGCTGCCTGCCCGCACCGCGACCAAAGCTCGGTAATAGCAACTTCTTTAAGCTGCCTGGAGGCAAGCTCAAACCGGGAGAGGATGGTGAGGGCCTGGGGCGCCGCCAACAGCATCGAATCACACATTCATCGAGGCTTCCCAGGTGCATTGAATTTTTCCAATGATGCAGTGGCAGCTAGTCCGCTCAGAGGCAGGAGGCTGGCAGAACGTTAGCATGCGAGTGGCCTAATTCCCCTGGCGCCCTGCCGCAGAGGTGGAGGGGCTCAAGCGCAAACTGGTCACGTACCTGTCACCCGAGGACCCCGTGCTGCAGATGCCCTGGGAGGTGCGGCGCACACACACGTGCGCAATCCCTGGGCGTGCTGGCCAGGCAGCGCCCGCTGCTTGCGTGCATCCCATGGGCTGATGGTCCCTATGCAAAAGCTGCTGGGCTGCCGCTGCACGCCCGCGGCTCCTGTCTGGGCAGCCAGGCGTGGCGCCCCGCCTCCCCTTGCGATGCAAGCAAACCTTTGCATCAACGCTCACATTTCCTCGCCTCACCTCATCCCACCCCTCTCAGATTGGAGAGTGCATTGGCAACTGGTGGCGGCCAAACTTTGACACGGTTTTCTACCCGTACGTTCCGCCCCACATCACGCGGCCAAAGGAGTTGAAGCGGCTCTTCGTGGTCCCCCTGCTGGAACGCAGCTGCTTCGCGGTGCGCAGCAGTAATTGCCAGCTTATGCATATGCATTTGTCACACCCCGTGCTGCTGAGGGGCTGCTACGCTGGGCATGCACTTGCACATCAACGCCGCTCCCGCATGCTCAAGGGGAGGTGCAAGCACCTGGGATCTTTGAATACTCAATCAGAAGGCTGGTCTGGGATGTTCAGGTCGCTGGCCGCCTTGCACCACCATCCTTACAATCATGCGGCGGTGTTGCTTCAAGACACAATCGCTATTGACGCGCATGCGTGCGCGTCCCGTCAATCCCACGAACCCCCCCCCCCCCGTCACGTACAAAAGAGAGTCTTTGTGATCAATACCTTTACTGCACACATGCGCACAGACACACAAACACAAATATATCCTGCAGATCCACACAACACACACACGCGTGCGCGCACGCACACACACACACACACACACACACTGACACACACACACATAGGTCCCGAAGAACTTCAAGCTGGTTGCCGTGCCGCTGTTCGAGCTGTACGACAACGCGCCGCGCTTCGGGCCCGTCATGGCTGGCATACCCCAGATGCTCTGCAGGTGCGGCCAGCCCCCGATGGCCTTTGGATGCGCGGACGTGCGGTTCGCAAGCCCGCAACGCATATGCACGCGTCTTCCGGGGAGCGCTTGGACGAACGGCGCAGTCTCAGCGTGGCTCATGCGGCTGGTGTGCTACCGGAAAGCAGCATCAAGGCTGTTCCCTGATGTGCACGCACTGCCGTCCGCCCCTCTGTCGCAGGCTGCGGCTCAACATCGTGGGCGGAGCGGCGGCAGCCAAGCAGGCAGCAGCACCCCAGCAGCCACAGCAGCCGCAGCAGCAACCATCGCTGCAGCAGCAGCAACAGCAGCAGCAGCAGCATTACGCGGCTGTTGGCGGTGGTGGTGGGGGCACACAGTACATGGAGACGGGTTGAGTTGGAGCGTGGTGGGGGGTTGCATGGCGCGCAATTGTGGTGCAGGCACCGAAGAGGTGCTTTCAACCAACATATACGGTAGCACAACCATGATGTAACTCTCAACTGCAACTGCAAACCAATCTTGCCAATCCTCACAAGCGGAAGAGAATGGCGTTGCCGAGGTACCAGGTCGCCCAACCTAGCAGGGCAGGCGGCACCTGGGGCTGTCCTGCCCATTTGTAGCTTGACAAGTGTCGAGAGTTTTCAGATGTGATAAGTTACGGTTCTAGTAGTTACGGCGCAATAATCATTTAGGGCTCAGCGACCCAGGGCATAGCCGAATCCGCCCCCCAAGGCCTGTAATTCGGCACAGAAATTCGGCGCGGAAAGAGGATGCATATGCACGCCCCTAAAAATACGGACGGAAGCCGGGCGGCCCGCGGCGGCCCGGATCGCGCCACGATCGCGCCGGGATCTCGCCGCCGCGGCGCGCGTGCGGGG